CCTGAAGAGTCCAAGGGCTCATCACAGCAAAAGCAGGTAAATGCTTGTAATTCTTCTCTTTAACACATGAGGACCAAAATTAGAAAACGTGTTTTCTTTTCCCACCATTTCCACTTGCCGAGTTTCCTGCTTGAGTCTAGTTTCTAAGACAAATTGTTCGAATGGGCCCAAGGCCGACTTGAAACTGTCAGGAAATGGCCCCACCCAGCCATTTTTTCAACTGTGGTTCCAGGTCTCAGGGCTGCAGGAAGTGATCCTGAATGCCTTCCTGCAGCCAGCACACCCTCTGCCAGGGTTTAGCCTGCTGAGGCCGTCCTTGACTTCTAAACAGCACTCTCTAGGCTGTCTTTCCTCCTCTCATTAGTAAAAGAAATGTTATCTTAGAGAAGTAGGAAAATGCCCATCAGAAAGATACAAACTAAAAACGTAATTTTTGTTTGTTTGCTGGAAATTAAGCCTCAGGCCTCACGCACACTAGGCAATTGCCCTACGACTGAGCTACATCCACAGCACATAGATTTAAAACATTCTGCTCCCTGGATAGGTGATTAGATAAAGGAAAAGAAGTAAAAGAGGCAGCAGGACAGATAGTTCAGTCGCCTCTTTTGCAGAGGGCCCAGCGCCTACACTGGGTGCCTGTAACTCTGGTTACCGGTGCTCTGTCACCATCGTCTGGATTCCATGGGCACCTGCACGCGCGTGGTGCACACATACCCGCTCAGGCACACCAACACGATGAACAAATAAATCTTTTCTTTACACAATTAAGCCTGAAAGTTTTAAGATTATGGGTTCTAAAGCACGGAAACCCATGGAGAAAGATCTTCTGCGCAGAAGAGGCAGCTCAGCAGTTAAGAGCACTTGCTGCTCTTGCAGACCTGAGTTCAGTTCCCAGCACCCATCAGATGGCTCACAACCATCTGTAACTCAGGTTCTGAGGAAGCTTATATAGTCTTTGGGCCTGCATGTGTGCATGCACACACAGACACAAAAATAAATAAAAAAAAAAAACGTTTTTAAAGAAGAGAGATTTTCACTGATGGTACAGACTGAAGGTATTCTGGTTGCCTGTGGCTAACCACACTTAGGAAAGGTCATGGTTCAGCTTGGACTGCCTTGTTTGGGGAGCTTCATCCTGAGAACCCTGCTGTGGACTTCACAGTTTCCCCCACATATCCTTCGACTGTGTTATCTTCTCAGAATCTTACTTCTCTCCATATTTATCAGTACAATGACCTTTAAAATATGAAAATGAAAGCAACCAAAAACTGCCAAAACCATTTCTTCTGTTATTCTTTTTTTCAGGAGATCTCCAGTTCATCAGTTTTCCATTTCACTTGACAAATGCTTCCCAGTGGAGGCTCAAAAATTAACTTTTCACTTGACAAATGGAAGGTATTTTCATCAAAATCCCCAGGATAACTGAGAAGTTATGGAGTCTGAGTTGTAGGACTGTCCATCTGCTAAAAGGGAGACCCAATTCCTACCACGTGTTCAACTGGTGCATTCTGCAGACTCGTGCCTGAGTGTCAAGACTTTTCTTTCCTGTTTAAGTTTGAAAATGTCACTTTATTAAAGGTCATGCACAGACAGCTAGGGGTGGTGCCATATGCTTTTAATATCAGTACTCAGGAGGCAGAGGCTGGCAGATCTATATGAGTTCAAGACCAGCCTGTTCTAGAGAATGAACTCCAAGCAAGAAATGTGTAATGAAACTCTGACTTTTTTAGATCTTGTCTCCTATCTCCCTCCTGTCTCAATTTCCAGCCCAGGCAGATGACTCTGTGGCCCATGTCTGTGACCTCATCCCTTACTAATCTCCACCGTGACCCTGCCTTGTGGCCTCTGTTCCCACTGTGCTCAAGAAAGACCCTTCCATATCACACAGTGCACATAGCTTGGGTTTGCGCTGAAGGCCTTGCGTTTCACTGAATGGGGGAGAGATCCTGTGGGGTTTTAACAAAGGCGTGATGAGGTTTGGACAGAGTGTGCTGTCCTCTTTGTTGAGGAGAAACTGAAGCAAGGAGGGAAAGCAGGAGGACCAGGCATGGGTGGGAGTGATGTTGACTGGAAAAGTGGGACTTTCTTTAGACTGATAGCTCCCAAGTAATGACACGGAGAGTTATTACATTTATTATAATCTTAGCCACTCTAGCTCGGCTGATTCTCAGCTATTTTAACCCGAAAATACTGGCCTGGCCTACGTCCTGCCAGGGGGCCTGTTACCTCTCCTCTCTTAGTTAGGATGCTTGTTTCTTCCTCTGTATCTGGCTATCAATCACCCCTCTGATTCCTTCCCAGAGTTCCTATCTAGGTCTGGAAGTCCCGCCTTCCTTTCCTGCCTTTGCTGATGGCCATCCAGCTCTTTATTAAACCAATCAGAAGGTGTCAGAGGGGTTGTTTACAAAATATGATGCAGCCAAAAGAATAACGATATAGTCTGACCTGTGCTCAGCTCTTTGCTGGTTATTCAGATCAGAATTTGAATAATACACAGACAATCTTTACACAGACCTCAAAAAGATCACCACCACAGGCTGGGAAGTTTGGGGTAAGAAGTGGTTGGTTCCTAGTTATGAACTGAAGGAAATACTGGCAAGACTTGTCATTGGGAGATGTGGGCAACACTGATCACTGAGGTTTTAAGACTGGGCCGCTGGGGGAAAAAAAAAAACAAAACACAAATATTAAAACTCGCTAAATTACATTGCCAAGTTAGGGTAATCGTGTTGGAATTGGTTGATTGACTGATTTTTCTGCCTCCCCCTCCTCCCACATGAAAAGATTGTAATAATATGCTACCACCAGCTGCAAATCATTTTTTAAAGACTCTTACTTTCTGCGGATGAATGCTTTGCCTGCGTACATGTTTGTACATCATGCATGTGACTGGTGTCATGGGAAGCCAGAAGAGGGTGTCAGGTCTCCTGGAACTGGAATTGCACGTGGTTATGAGCCACCCTGTAGGTTCAGGGAATCAAACCTGAGCGCACAGGAAGACCATCCAGTGCTCCTAAGCCTTCCTTATATTCAAACCTGCAAATGGATTTTTTTTTTCGGGGGGGGGGGGCAGGAAAAACAGCATTTATTAATTTAGAAGTTGATAAAGACATAGGCAGTTAGATGTACATTTTTAAACTGATTGATTGATTGATTACAGTTTATTCACTTTGTAGCCCCCCCCTCCCATTCCCACCCTCCCTCCCTCTTCACCACCTGTGCCCCTCCCCCAGTCCACTGATAAGGGAGGTCCTCCTCCCTGCAAACGGATTTTTAAAGAAAGAGAAACCAAAAAAAAATTGTTGTATTGTTTTTGGTGCTCCTGTTGAGACAGGGTCTCGCTATGTAGCTCTAGCTGTTCTGGAGTAGACTAACTCTGTAGACCAGGCTGGCCTCAAAGTCACAGAAATCTACCTGCCTTTGTCTCCCATGTGCTGGGATTAAAGACATTCTCTTTCTTTCTTTCTTTCTTTCTTTCTTTCTTTCTTTCTTTCTTTCCTTATTCCTTCATTTTTAGTCCTGAGACAGCCTGCCAACTGCTTCGTAAACAGATTCCAAGCAGCACAAAATTAAGTAAGATTAATTACAAAAAATAAATGAGCAAAATAAAAATGAAAGCCACACGTGGTGGTGCCTGCCTGTATCCTAACAGCCGCGCACAAGCCGTTCTGTACAGGACTGTCATCGGGCTCATCCCATGGAGCCTGGAGCCGTGGGGACCGGTTCTACCACACTGAGCTGCTAATCCATTGCTCTGATCCATCGTGCCTCCTTCAGCCACTGTGGCGTGGCCTTGTGGCACACCCGCTTACCTGCTTGCCTGGTCATCTTTCTCTGGAGTCCGGCTGCCTGTCGCCTTCCTCTGTGAGGCTGGAGTTCTTCCCATGGTGAGAATAAATAGCACCCTACCCTACGGGCTGTTAGGAAGAGCAGAGCAGATGTCAAGATCCTGGTGTGACTGTGGAGCAGGCTTGAGTAGACTGGTTTGGAAACAGCGAGCCGGAGAAGCTCACGGCTGCAGAGCTCTTACCCAGCATGCATGGAGGCCCTGGGTTTGATTCCCAGCACTTAATAGGGAATGGTGGTGTGTGCCTATAGCCCCAGCACTGGGGAAGTAGAGACAGGAGGATCAAGGGTCTCTAATAACTACACGACAAGTTCAAGTCCAGCCCGCAGTACACGTCTCAAACAGCCAAACATTAGGGATGGGGGCTTATCTCAGTCAGAGTTCAGACCTAGCACGTTCTAGGAAGGGAGGGAGGGAGGGAGGGAGAGAGGAAGGAAGGAAGGAAGGAAGGAAGGAAGGAAGGAAGGAAGGAAAGAAGGGAAAGATAATATTTTTATCACCTTGTTCTCCAACTCAAATGTCCCTACATATCAATATTAGGATTTCCTAATATTGCCTCTCATACTATAAAGACACCTACAATAAGGACAATACATCTTCCGAACTGTGTTTGCTTCCAAACTGGTTCACAACTCATTCATTATAAAAGCAATTGGGTGGGATTTTAGCAGCCTCCTTTTATATCAGCAAAAGAGATTGGATGTCATATACATTCCAGAACTAGATGATGTTTTGTGAGACGCTGTCAGCTTGTGTTAGACTGGGTAGCTCTGTAAGTGCTAGGCTGTGGTATAAAATCTGGGAGTTCTATGAAAAACAAATCAAAACCCATTTTTCTCAGCCCAGAGATGTTACTTGGCTTGAAGGTGTGTGACAGTGGAGCAGATTTTACGACCTTCTGTGTAACCCGGACGGTACTTAGATGGGACCAAGGTGGCAGGATCACTAAATGAATCCTGACAAATCAGACAGCCAGCACCCTGACTGAGAGAGAGCCTTAAAACAGCTCCCTGCCTCAGGCCAATAGATGAAGCAGGATGAAATTCCCGAGAGAGTTCCGGCTGAGATTAAAGCAAACAAACATGCAAACAAAAACCCATCGCTTTCCACTGTCAGCAAATGGAGTCTGCATAAATGTCCTTATTTTCCATAGCCAGCAAAATCCTGCGCCCCGGGGAAGCGCTCCGGAACTTCCCAACGCTGCGGAAGACCTGTACTGATTGTACAGCGCTCCCGACCTGAGCTGAGCCTGAGTCATTCTGCCCAGGTCACGCTTTACCGCCGGACACCGCTTTGCTACCGTGTTGAGTGATGAAAAAACGAAAACAGACTCGGCTCCTTCACTTTGAGGGCCGGTTTCATAGCCCCTCCCCCTGCTGGGAACTAGGTTTAGTTTTGTTTGGATGGTTATTGCTGAGTCAACAGACTGACTCCAGAAAGCTGGGACTTGGGGGTGGTTAACAGCCTGGTGATCTGTATTACCTGTTGGCCCAGACCATGTGAAGCTCCTACAGCCAGGACCAGAGGTGGCTGATAGCCCAAATGACTTCTCTGCGCTGACTGTATGACCAAGAGCAGGCCAAATCCTTCCTCAGGCCTTCCTTAGGTAGGACAGGCAGCCAATCTCTAGAACCCATCTTCCTGGAAAAATGACCTGTGCCCCGAGTCCAGTTTCAGTGTACTCAATGCTTCTTTGTGCACCGAGGGTGTATTACACCAGGAAACTTTTTTCCCAGCCATGTTGCGCTTACGCTTGTTGGGAATAAACCGCCATCCCGGAAGTTCCATCGGGGGTGAGGGAGCCAATCTGAACTGAGTTTTTGTTTGCACCTCTTCACGGCTTGCCTTCCCTGCCTGCCGCCACCACCGAAGGGTCCTCCTCCGCACATGGTGCGAAATACCCACCCCTTTACTTGGGCTCTATGTCCTGTTCTCTCTAATGCTCTTGATGATCTTGGCAAGGTCCCCCTTTCTCTGTTCCACCGCAGTTCCCGAGTGTGTGCCCTTGTGTTTCCTTCCAGGTAACGGAAATGAGCCCCTGCCTTGCCCTCCCACCCATCTCTGGTTTGCGTTCTTCTGTCTGCCTCACCTGCCCAGCAAAGGTCATCGGTCATATTGCGCTTCGCTGAAGCCAAAATGCTCTGCTGTGCACACTGAGTGGAACCCAGTTTGCTTCCACCTTACCATGATCCCTTCGTTCCCATTGCCTTTGACTCTCCTTGCCTGGTGTGTCTTTTGAGCACACCAAACTGAGGGCGTCAGGGAGCATCTGATCCCCTGCCATTTCACTTCATGTGCCACTAACAAGCAAGTTCCTTCACTGAGTCCTCCCCCATCCCTGGAGAGATACGTTAGTTGTGACCTGACCTAATAGAATATTTTGCTGTACTTGAATGCTAGGGTACTGTCTTCCTAGCTTCCAGATAGCCACTGAAGGGCAAGGGTTATCATAGCCCCTCAACACCCCCAAAATACCAAAGTTAGGTTGGACAGCCAGACCTAACTTTTGTACTCTTTGAGACAACCCTGTTACTTGGCATCAGCAGTCAGAACAGATGGCTTACATTTTAGCAAATGTTTCTGCTGTCAGTGTAGAGAAGCCCAAATAGCGTCAGGCTCTTACAGAGCAAGAGGGGGGACAAGACAAAGCCAGAGAAGTCTTCAGGACTGCCAAAAGCAGCCCCTCTCCCTCCTTGTCCTACCCTCAGACTGACATGGTCGCCCAGCTCCTGTGTTCCTTCACCTTCTTGGAAACGTGGCTTCCGGAAGCCTTATTCTCCCCAAAATTAAACACAAATGTGGTGAATACAGTACCCTGTTCCTCCAAGCCAGTGTTAGGCTAAAGACAAGAAAAATGTGACATTTCAAACGAATGGAAGTACAGCAGCGAGGCCACCCCTCCTGTGCCGTGATGAAGCTTTGTCTGCCCCTCCAAGCTGACAGTGTGCAATGCAAGTCTGCCAGACTCCAAGGAGATGGGTCTACTTTTTGGCTTAAAGCCTAGACTCTGTAAGGTTTGAACTTGCTGCTTTCACTTTCTGATCCAAGGAGAATCATACCGGCAGGGGTTGTGCCTAAAATCCTGCACAGGCCAGCCAGGCAGTGACAGAGGTTGGAATTAGGAAAAGCAACTGGCCCATGCACGCCTTTAATCCCAATACGTGAAAGACAGAAGAAGGTGGATTTCTGTGAGTTCAAGGCCAGCCTGTTCTATACAGTTCCAGGACAGCCAGGGCTTCACAGAGAAATCCTGTGAACAACAAGAGAGACAGAGAGAAAGGGAGGTAAGGAGGGAGAGAGATAAAGGGAGGCAGGCAGGGAACGAGAGACTTGCTGAGCCAGAGTCCTTGCAGAAGCGCTTTTTTGTTTGAGGTTATAGTGGGATGTTGAAGTTTGTTTTCTGTTTCTGTGATAAACAGCATGTCCCAGGCAGTGGTAGGTGGCACACGCCTTTAATCCTAGCATTAGGGATGCAGACGCAGGTGAATCTATGGATCTCTGAGTTTAACATCACTCTGGTCCACAGAGTCAGTTCCAGGACAGCTGGGACTACACAGGGAAACCCTGTCTCAAAAAAAAAAAAAAAACCAACAAAACCAAAAACCATAAAGAGGAAAGAGTTTAGCTTGCAGTCCATCAGCCGAGAAAACCAAGACAGGAACAAAGGCAGGAGCTTCAAGCGGAAACCTGCTCACGGCCTTGCTTTCAGGCTCATGATCTGCCACTTGTCACAGATAGCCCAGGTGAACCTGCCTAGGCCTGATACCACCCACCGTGGGCTAGGCTCTACCACAGTCATGAAGTAGTTTCACAGGCCAATTCTATGAAGACAGTTTCTCTACTGAGATTCTCCCTTCTCAAGTATACCAAGTTGACAGCCAAAATTAGTTACCCAGGGGCCTACACAAGTTTGAGACTCTAGCAATATTTTGTATAAACATAGTCAGGCAATCTGGCTTTACTTACTTTGGGGGGAGGGGAGAGTTAAGGTTAACACAAACAATTTCAATTTTGATTTTGACAGCTCTTGATTTTTTGCTTTTACATTATACAAATGAATGTTCCTATCTCTCATATACATGTATATATTTATTTTATGTTATATTTACTATATATATTTAAGAAGGAATGGGTTTCTTGTAGCTTACAGGTCATAGCCCATCAGCTAGGAAGGTCAAGGCAGGGACTCAAGGCATGAGCTTGAAGTGGAAACCAACAGCTGCTCACTGGCTTGCTTTTAGGCTCAGGTTCTGCTACTTGTCTTACACAGCTCATGTATAACTGTCTGGGGATGGACAGTATACATAATTTTATATATGTATGAAAAAATAAAATACATATGGGGAAATATATATATATATATATATATATATATATATATATATATCAGTAAGTTGGTGTGATGGGCAGTGGGATAATCAGTTGTCACTCCACTTTAACATTTGCTGTCACAAATTTGCTTCCCCTGCTATTTTTCTTTTTCTACACTGTAAGCCAGAGATGATAAAGTTCAAGTCTGAGCTTAGAGAAGATTGATTGATTGATTGATTGATTGATTGATGTTGTTGTTTTGGGTTTTTGAGACAGAGTTTCTCTGTGTAGCCTTGGCTGTCCTGGACTCACTTTATAGACCAGGATAGCCTCGTACTCACAGCGATTCTCCTGCCTCTGCCTCCCTGAGTGCTGGGATTAGAGAAGATTCTTGAGGAGAATTTTGCTTTATACCACAAAAGGCATTTGAGAAGAGTGACAAAATCAGAAAAGGTTTGTAGCCTAAGAAGTACCGCTGTCTTGTCGATTGTTCAATGGTTGTGTAAGAATGCCTTTGCTGGGCTGGAGAGATGGCTCAGGGGTTAAGAGCACTGGCTGCCCTTCCAAAGGTCCTGAGTTTGACTCCCAGGCACCAACCATCTATAATGAGATCTGGTGCCCTCTTCTGGCATGTGGGTGTACATGCAGGCAGAACACTGTATACATAATAAATCTAAAAATAAAAAAATAATAATGCCTTTATTTTTTCCTGATTTTATTCTTTTTTTAATCAATTACAATTTATTCACTTTGTATCCCCCTGTACCTCTCTCCCTCCTCCCCTCCCAATCCTACTCTCCCTTTTCCCCACCCTTGTCCCTCTTCCAGTCCACTGAAAAGGGAGGTCCTCCTCCCCTTCCCTCTGATCCTAGTCTATCAGGTCTCATCAGGAGTGGCTGCATTGTCTTCTAAAATATGTCCATCTAAGGAAGCTAATCAGGAAGGAGGACTCTGGCTAAGATGCTCAGTCCCCATTCAGAAAGGCAAAGAGGATGGACATCGGAGGAGGGAGAAAACAGGGAACGGGACAGGAGCCTTTATTTCAAAGAAACACACGTTGAGGGACTGGAAAGACATCACAGTGGTTAGGGCACTGTCTGTGCTTGCAGAGGACTCGTGTTCAGTTCCCAGAACCCAGGCCAGGTGGCTCACAACCACCTGTAACCTGAGCTTCACAGATATCCAATATCTCCAGCCTCCCTAGGCATCCAAACTCTCTCTCTCTCTCTCTCTCTCTCTCACACACACACACACACACACACACTGTTACAGATGGTCTCTCCAGCCCCATATAACTTTTAAAAAAAAACAATTTTTTAAAGATATAAACATTGAAATATTTAGAAGTAAAGGAGCACAGTGTTTCCAAATATGGTTTAAAAATATGTATATATCTATGCATTACATGTATTTGTAGTATATGCATTCTCTATCTTGTGGTCTAATTATATATAAATTTATATATAAACTTGGAGAGAAGGAAACAAAGACAGAGGAGGGATGGTGACAAGGCACTTACACAGTAAAACAGCACACTGAACAGCAGAGGACTCTGTGAAGAGTGTGTGGGACTCTATACTCTTTCTGTTATTTCTCCATAGGTCTGAGATTATTTCAAAATGAAAATCACTAGCAGGAGCTGGGGATATGACTCTGCATTCAAACTCCAGCATTACAAAACAAAAGAAAAAAAATGCAGACATCAGCTTATACAACCATTATTTAAATCTCTTTGTACTCTGAGTGTGAAACTTAATATGAGCGAGTCCCATGTTTTAAGAGCCTCCACTTTCCCCACCCCACCCCCGAGAGTACGCAGTTTCTCCTTTCACTTATTAAAAGTGTTCCACTATTCTCTATTTCTTTGGTTTGCAGAAAGTTCAAAGCTAGCTAACTATTGTAAGTGCACAGAATGCTATTAAAAACTTCTCTGTGTCCCCTGTAGCGTCCTCCATACTCACTGATTCTGTTTGTCCCATAGTTCCTAGACAGCTGCTTTTC